CTGAACATCCTGCGCTCGTAAACTTTGTAATTAGTTCTCTTGTTATTCTTACACCAACATTCTTTGGAAGAAAGAATCACCAGTTTTAATCACAATAAGTGACACCGAAGAGGAATTCTCCAGATTCTACTCATAATAAGATTTCCAGTCTATTAATTGAATGCAACTTTTTCAGTATGACGGTGCATTTTGTCTCTACTGAACTGGAATTTTTAGGGTTTTTTTGGTTGTAAAAGGGAGTTTTTTCTGGGGGGAAAATATACAAGGTGAGAAAAAAAAATTGAATGGGGGGGAAAAAAAACCACCCTATTTTCCATGGCATAAAAAACGGCACAAGAGTAATTGATATTTGCATGTATTTTTTTTTCATCCCCACCAATTTGCTTCTTTTTCCTTCAGCTGAATTGCTTTTTACAGAACAGATCAATCTCGTTGACGTTCAAAGCAGATACAGCAATGACAAAAGGAGGGGAGGAGAGAAGAGAAGAGGCTGTATGAAACATCAAGAGAATGAAAAAAACAAACAAGCATGGGTAATCTATATGAAGCAGATGTGTGAATAAGATCAAGGCTTGTTGACATCATCGACCAACAAAGAGAAAAAGGCAACAGTGGTAAAATGGATGACTTGGATAGCCCCAGACGTCATCGCTGAAGGAACATTCTGATTCAAAAATAGAAAATACGAATTTCGTTAAATTTAATTCAGTAAACATTTTAATAATCCCTTTAAAAGCAGGTGATTCTTGTATTTTGGGAAGTCAATCCCAACTGTGGGTCCAAAGTCAAAATTTTCCTGACCACTTGGCCAAGCTCTAAAATGTTGTTGGGTTTTAGAGGTCTTTGTGTGCAGATTTTAACCAAAGCAAACAGCATCCCCAAACCAGTCAGTTTTATTTAGCCTGGCATTTAATTGGGATTTAACTGCGTGCAGGTAATCCTTGACATATGACCACAACTGAGCCCAAAATTTCTGTTGCTAAGTGAGACATTTGTTAAGTGAATTTTGTCCCATTTTATGATCTTTCTTGCCACGGCTGTTAAGCGAATCCCTGCAGTTGATAAGTTAGTAATCCGGTTGTTAAATGAATTTGGCTTCCCTGTTGACTTTGCTTGTCAGAAGCTCGCAAAAGGGGATCACGTGACCCCTGGACGCTGCAACCGTCATAAATATGAGTCAGCTGCCAAGCATCTGAGTTTTGATCACGTGATTATGGGGATACTGCAGTGGTCGTAAGTGTGAAAAACGGTCACACCAGTGCCATGGTAACTTCAAACGGTCACAAAACGAATTGTTGTAAATCGAGGACTATCTCTGTAGATTCTGTGAGCTATTGCTTACATTTCTTTGACTTTATTATCCCCATTTTTGGGATATTAGAATAAAGTTTTGCTTGTTGCAAACATCTGTTGAGATGAAGCTTATGGGGTCCTGGAGGTGGGGAATATAAAAGAAACTATTTTGTCAAAATCTTTCTTGCTGCTCGCAGTGAGAAGGAGGAGAAAATCAACATTTTCTGTATGTCTTTGCAATCTGTGGGTGTCCTTATGTTTGATTCAACCTACACAACTGCTTTACCTCTGATTGCTGGCATTATCTATTATTATTATTATTATTATTATTATTATTATTATTATTATTATTAATAATAATAATAATAATAATAATAATAATAATAATAATAATAATAATAATAATAATAATGTTGGAAGGGAACTTGGAGTTCATCTAGTCCAACCCCCTGCTCAGGTAGGAAACCCTATACCATTTCAGACAAAAGGCTGTCCAGTCTCTTCTTAAAAACTTCCAGTGTTGGAGCATTCACCGCTTCTGGAGGCAGGTTGTTCCACTGGTTAATTGTTCTAACTGTTAGGAAATTTCTCCTTAGTTCTAGGTTGCTTCTCTCCTTGATTAGTTTCCATCCGTTGCTTCTTGTCCTGCCTTCAGGCGCTTTGGAGAATAGCTTGACTCCCTCTTCTTTGTGGCAGCCCCTGAGATATTGGAACACTGCTATCCTGTCCCCCCTCGTCCTTCTCTTCGTTAAACTAGACATACCCTGTTCCAACAACCGTTCCTTATATATTTTAGCCTCCAGTCCCCTGATCATTTTTGTTGCTCTTCTCTGTACTCTGTGGGAGAGTTTCAGGGATGATTTGTGGAATAAGCAGGTGCCTTTGGAAATTCTCAGGTGTGATGATTTTTTTTTTTGTCACGGTAAACTACAAGTCTAAGTATTTTTCAGGAATGCTAAGGATCTTGAGGAGCTCTCATCCAATCACTACAGGGCATTTTTGCTCTTAAAAAAAAAGGGAAGAGAAAGAGGATGAGGATGAGGATGAAGGGTGCAGAGGAAGATCAGGAGAAGAATAGTGAGTGGGAAATGGGTAACAAATTCACATTTTAGGAATGTTGGAATTCGTTCTTTGCCCTTGTTGCTAGGCCAAATATATTTCAGAAGAGTTCCCAATTTTCTGATTGAGTCTCCTTTTTGACAGAAAAATAACCAGAATAACAGAATTGGAAGGGATCTTGGAGGTCTTCTAGACCAACCCCCTGCTCAAGCAGGAGGCCCTATACTATTTTAGACAAATGGTTGTCCAATCTTTTCTTAAAAACCTCCAGTAGTGGAGCACCCAGAACTTCTGAAGGCAAATCATTCCACTGATTAATTGTTCTCCCTGTCAGAAAATTCTTTCTTAGTTCTAGGTTGGTCCTCCCCTGGATTAGTTTCCATCCATTGCTTCTTGTCCTGCCTTCATGTGCTTTGGAGAGTAGCTTGATCCCCTCTTCTTTGTGGCAGCCCCTAAAATACGGGAATACTGCTATCATGTCACCCCTTTTCCTTCTTTTTTTTAGACTAGCCATACCCAATTCCTGCAACCGTTCCTCATGTTTTAGCCTCCAGTCCCCTAATCATCTTTGTTGCTCTTCTCTGCACTCTTTCTAGAATCTGAACAACTTTTTTATATTGTGGTGACCAAAACTGGATGCAGTATTCCAAGTGTGGTCTTACCAAAACATTATAAAGTGGTATTAACACTTCACGTGATCTTGATAATCAACCAGTAATGAATGAAGTGATTTCAGAGTCAAATAGCCATTTTTAAAAAAATGATCCTGGTCCACAGGTAGAAGAGCAGGAATGGCTAACTTGAGCTGCAGGACCTGTCCTGCCCCAGTATCTTCTCCATGGGAAATAGACAAAAACTATTCAGGTAGTCCTCAACATACAACTATAATGGAGCTTGCCCATTATGATCGTATGTTGCAATGGTCGTAATCATAACAATCTTATCTTTTTTGTGGTGATCATTAAGAGATTATCTGGCTGCTAAGTGAATCTTCGGTCATTAAGCAAACCAGTGGGTTCGCTATGGGTGGCTTTTTGCCAGAAACTAGATATAAATAAATATAAAATGGAGTCCGATGACCACGAGATGCTGCAACTGGCTGCAAAGTTCCATCACATGATAGCAAAAGAGGCTCAACCATCAGAACTTTGAATTCAGATTATAGGTCCTCTTTTTTGGGTTGGTTGTAACTTCAAGTGGTCACCAAGTAGCTGGTCATAAGTGGAGGACTACCTATAATGTAATCCTTACAGGTGTATCTGGAGGACACACTCAAGAAAGTCAAGATGATTGCTGTGGTGGGCGCAATCAAAGTGGACAGAGCTTCAATTCTACTTTCATGGTCACCATATTGACTTTTTTGACCATATGCTATGGGTACCCCCTGGATCCTTATCATAGGTTGCTAAATAGAATAGAATAGAGCTGGGAGGGACCTTGGAGGTCTTCTAATCCAGCCCCGTGCTTAAGCAGAAGAACCTATAGCGTCTCAGACAGGTGAATGTCTAGTCCAAGGGTGTCAAACTCAATTTCATTGAGGGCCACATCAACATTGTGGTTGCCCTTGGGGGGCCAGGTGGGTGTGGCCAGGGTGGGTGCGACCTACTGGGTGGGCGTGGATGGAGTGGGTGTGGCCTACTGGGTGGGCATGGCCAGCTCTACATCGTTCGTGTCAAGGGTGCCTGTGGGGCAAGAGTGGGACAGATCTGAGGGTCTCTGGCAGAAGGGGGTGGGACCGGGGCAAGCGCCAAGGCATGGTCCATTTCTTCATTCCTCACAAAGGGTGACACCTCCCCAGCATGCACCCAGGGGGTGGGGCCGACACGGCAGGGGCTGGTTCCTCACTGTTTCTAGACGGCCTTGTGGAGCTAAGACTGAATGCGTTTCAGCATAGACGGCCACCACAAAATTGTACATTGGCTCCCGGCCAAGGCAGTGGGGACCGTTACCTCACTGTTTCCAGGATGCTTCGCGGGCCAAATGAAACCACTTTGCGGGCCATATCCAGCCCCCGGGCCTTGTGTTTGACATGTCTGGTCTAGTCTTTTCTTAAAAATCTCCAGTGATGGAGCGCCCAGGATTTCTGGGGGTAAGCTGTTCCACCGGTTGATTGTCCTCACTGTCAGGAAGTTTCTCCTTAATTCCAGGTTGCTTCTCTCTTTGAAATGAAGTAGAAACCTCCTGACAGCGAGGACAATCAACCAGTGGAACAGCTTACCCCCAGAAATCGTGGGCGCTCAATATCATCATAACATAAAAATCCTGCAAAAACAGGAAAACAAGAGGAAATCCAGGCCTCACTCACTTTGATATGGCCCCAGGTTCTTGGCATGTTCAGCCTATCTAGAAAAGCTTCCAGCTTTCTCACCACCCTCGTCTGCCTTAAAGGATCGTTCCCATTCTCCAGGCCCTTAAAACAACCTTCTCCTGCAAATGGAGCTGCTGTTACAGACCAAACAAGAAGCTGGTTTTGCAACCCTGACTGAAGATCGGACAACATAAACCATCTAGAGATATACGGCACAGGTTGGACGAAGATGACCACACACTGAGGAGGTGGGCTGCCATGTTTCCCCGGGCGCTCCTCTGACAGACAAGCCCCTTCACCCCCTGGAAGGGATTCAGGTGGCATTCATGCTTTTACTTACCTGCTCATTGTCGCTCGCCCACCATTTCCCATACTCCCTTTTGGAGTGAAACACTCTATTTCCGACTTGTGCTGGGCCAGCCTCCTGTCTTTGTACCTAACAAAGCATGACAATGACAGGAGCAACAAAAACAGAGATAAATGATTGTGGGCGTTCTCTTGTCGTAAAACAGTGGTGCAAGAGAGAGAGAGAGGTGCGTCTGCACATCCTGGTGGACTTCCAAGGACTATAGCGGACAATGGGGCACAGTCTCCAGTCTCAATAAAAGACTGGAACTCGGGGTTGAAATGAGGGGGGTCCTTGGCGCTCTCTGAGTTTGGGTGTTTTCTTGCGGACGTTTCATTACCCAATTAGGTAACATCATCAGTGCTGGAAAGGAGTTTGGGCTTGCTCTCTGTTTATATAGAAGTGGCTTGCCCTGTCAGTGTTGGTGGGAATTTTCTTAGATGTTATAAATAAATAAATAAATAAATAAATAAATAAATAAATAAATAAATAAATAA